GATAACGTTTTTTTCAAACATAGAAATACACCGTACAAACTGTCCTCGCGGGCGAGTCTAACCTCAATGAGCATTAGCGAAAAACAACGCTACCGCAAAAGTGGCATAATATTATCTTGAGTCAGTGCCCTTTTCTTACCATCACATCACTCATGCAATCTGATAACTTTATGTCTGTTTTCTCATAATTATTTTTGTCTTTGATGTTTTTATGTGTCGATGTATTTCCTGTATCAAAAATGTGTGTATATATATATATATATATATATATATATATATATATATCCGTATCTAATTAAAATACTTATTGAAGAATAAATTCATCTGATAAAGGACATTGTTTTTATTAAACCAATTAGATAATATTGTAATTGTAAGAACATTGCTTTACACTATTTACTTAGTTTTAGTATATCTGCTGCCACTGTAAAACATTAAGTTTAGAATAAATTAACAATATGGCGAGTGAAAGATTTATTCACTTATAATTTACGCTCAAGTCCACACTTCTTAGCGATAGTAATCTTGTATAATTATGTTTCATAGCGTGAAATTCGCAATTGATGTCTGTGTTTATACTTGCTGCCTAATTAACTATCCTTCTTTGGGAAATGTGTGTGTTCTATTACTGGACACAATTTACCCGTGTACTCATAGACTTATTATATTACTGCGCCTAATTGTATGCTAAATTTGAATTCCCTCATAGTTACAGTTACAGAAATAAGACAATTTAAAAACGAAAATATAAATCCACTTTATTTCCTATTCCGTGGGTATTTCCAAAAATTTTCCTTATTTCTTGGCTACATTATACAGGAAAACCTCTTCGCAAATTTTCAGCTAACTAGATCCAACAAAAAATTTTCAGGTAGGCGTTGATTCTGTGTGCTTGCAATGAATAAGTGAGTGAGTGAATTGGGACCTGTGTTTCCTTATTACTATATTGTTTTTTTTAGGTTTTTTACTCTTTTGTATATAGGGTCGGGTAACCAAATAAATATCGCGACTCTAATTGGTCGACTCTAATAAGCCCACAAAATAAAATTGGCGGAATAATTTCCAGGCATGTCAACGACGTCTCACTAGTTTTGAATTGAGATGGCTCCTAATATTTGTTATAATAAAATCATTTGTAGTTATCGATGCAAAGTTATATCACGTTTTTTATTGTCAGATTTCTAATTTGATGTCACACGCTATTTGACCGAAAAGGAAGGCATTTAATGGTTTGTTTGCGCAGACATTGAGAAGAGACAATATTATTTACGTGCGCAAATATACAAGTCTTTGTCGATATTAAAATAAAGAACTCGTATCGCGGTCTTACATACACTCCCAAGCGCCTTCATGTGTGGGGTGTTGGTGCCTTGTAACAGCAGCCAATAGGCTTTACAGTCTTTTATATATACAATTTATTATGAATGAAATAATTGGTTTTTATATAATACAAGCTCTAATACCATATTTCAGCCCCTCAGGCGCAGATTCCACCAAAGCAGAGATGTGCGGAGATGTCCGAAGCGAAGACGAGAAGCGATGTTATTCAGCTAGGGTGTATACACCAATGCTGTGCGGAGATGCGTACTGGTTGGACTTGAGTGGAGATGTGTTCTGACTAGAGCGGAACTAAACAGCGTGCGGCGAGCGTTGTATAGTGAAATAAATGCAGAGCGTAACGCGTTCTGACTGACAAAAACTATATCTTATTTTACTAGCGGCGCGCTCACTGCACGCCGCTCACATCTCTGCATTGTACCGCCACCAAGGTCGATCTCGGCGTAGCACATCTCACATCTACGCTTTGATCGCGTCATACAAATATAATACATCTCCGCTCAGTGAGCGGTATTCACTGCAGCGGAGTTTCTTTTGGTTGGAGAAATTCTGTTGGTTGCTTGTAATAGATATTATTGCTTGGAATAGATAGAAAGGAGTATACCAAATTTCAAGTTTATCAGACGTATAGTTTGGTATATATATATACTCGTATATAGGATATGATGTTTTATTTTTGTCGACTGCCTCATTAATTTAGTGGGTGTAAGCGTGACTGCTAACCATGAGGTGCTGGGTTTGAAATTCGGGTTTACTGTCAAAAATTTTCAGTAGCAGCCTGAAGTCAGGAAGTTGGCAGTGTTTCATTGCCATGTCTAGGAAAGTCCATCGCCTGATACTTTGTACCTGTCCTACCCGGGGTACAAATTAGAACATTCCTTTGTGCCCCGGGACGGAGTTTGCGAATACGTCAGAGAGGACATCTGTATTCGACGCCTCGACGCCTTGACGGTACGGACCTGTCCATCCTTTTGCTGCGCGTAAACAGCGACGACCATCCCCGCGTCTACGGGTGCCTGTATAGGTCCCATAGCGGTAATGCTGACACAGACCGACTCATCAACCATGTCCAAATGGCTACAGATTTTTTGCTACAACAGATCCCATCCGTAGCTATCGTGATACTTGGCGATGTTAACACCCACCACGCTGAATGTCTCGGTTCACGTTTAACAGATCTGTTTATGAATTTACCTTGAAATATGGTCTGACACAACCAGTTATTTCACCTACGTAGATTTCAGATGTGGAAGATCATACACCTTCCCTGTTGAACTTTCTGCTAACATCTCATCCTGACGGATATCAGGTTTCCGTTGATACCCCTCTTGGCTCTTCGGACTATTGTCTGATCCGGAGTGTGGTGCCACTCACGCTCCCCTTGCGTCTGAATTCTGCAGGCTGTCGCCATGTTTGGCGTTACAGGTCGGCGGATTGGGACAGAATGCGGTCTTTTTTTGCATTCTACCCATGAGGGCGGGTTTGCTTCTCGAAGGGTGATCCTAGCTCTCTTGCTGACTCTGTCACTGATGATGTACTACTGGAAATGGAACTATTTATTTCATGACCTGTGGTACCCAACGGAGGCAGACCTCAGCCTTGGTTTGGTCTCTACTGGAAGGGTGCATTACGCAGTAAGCAGTATTATCAGGCCTGGGCTGTGACTTCAACCGCTCGGGATGTAAACACCAGCATGCTTAAAAGAAGTATAATTTCGCCTCAAGGTCCTTTAAAAGAGTTATTTCCAAGGCAAAGTATTAGCACATTGGCAGAATTGGCGAGAAATTAGTTCGCCTTCCTTCGGCAACCAATGAATTATGGTCTCTCGCCAAGGCCGCTCAAGGGGATTTCTGGAAACCATCACTACCGTCTCTGTACAGGTAGGATGACTCACTGGCCGACGCCACAAAAGAGAACGCCGACCTTTTAGGCTCTCTTTTTGCGTTCAACTCGACTTTCGATGACGGGGGGAATACACCGCCGACCATCCCGCACAATGAGTACTCTATGCCAGATGTGCGATTCACACAATACTTAGTACTCAAAGCACTCCTCTCCCTGGACAAAGACACAAGTCGAGTGGGCCTAACGGAATCCGGCCAATTGTGCTAAGGACGGCGGCTCCAGAGTTGACACCGGTTATAACGCGTCTTTTCCGGTACTGCTACTCCCTAAGCGCTGTCCCGAATTCATGGAAGACAGGTTTCGTGCATCCGATTCCTAAAAAAGGTAACCACTCTGATCCATCCAACTACAGGCCTATTGCCATCACCTCCTTGTTCTCGAAAATAACGGAGTTCATTATAAATTGCCAGCTCATGCGGTACATTGAGGAGCACCAGCTGATTAGTAGCCGCCAGTACGGTTTTCGTAGGTGTAGCTCTACAGGTGATCTTCTTGTTTACCTAACACAGATGGGCGCAGGTGATCGAGTCCAAGGGGGAGGCATTAGCTGTTAGTTTAGACATAGCGAAGGCCTTTGATTGGGTCTGGCACAAAGCGCTTTTTTGAAGCTTCCTTCCTATGAGCTTCCCGAGAAACTGTACGATTGGATCACCAGTTTTCTGGCTTATCGAAGCATCAAGGTCATAGTAGGTGGTGCATGTTCCGATTACAAGCCTATTTGCGCTGGTGTTCCACAAGGTTGTGTGCTATCACTAACGCTGTTTCTTCTGTATATCAATGATATCTTGCAAACCGGTAACATTCATTGCTATGCAAATGACAGCATTCGTGATACTCTATACACCGGCCGTGCCAATATTTCTCGAGAAAAAATCACCTAGTACCCGAACAACTTGTGTCTGAAGTCGATTCTTTGGTGAACAAAGTCTCGGATTGGGGGTAAATACAGTCCTGTTTAATCCTCAGAAGACACAAGTTTGCATATTTACCGCTAAAAGAACCCCTTTGTCGTGTGTCCCCAGTTTCAAAGCACTCCCGTTGCTACCTCAGCCAGTATCGGAATCCTCGGCATCGTCATACCGAGTGACGTGCAATTTCGTAGTCGCTTGGAAGAGAAGGCCAAATTGGCTTCTAAAAAGCTTGGCGTGCTCAGCAGAGCGAGACAGTATTTCATGCTGGCACATTGCCTGCAACTTTACAAGGCGCAGGTTCTGTATCACATGGAATAATGTTCCCATTACTGGGCTGGGGCTCCCCTGTGCCAGCTCCTTCCACTTGATCGCATCCAACGCAGAGCGGCTCGAATCGTCGACGACCGACTACTTTCCGACCAGCTCGATTCACTAGCGCTGCGAAGAGATTTTGCATCGTTTTGCGTATTTTATCGCATGTACCATGAGGAGTGCTCTGAGGAAGTGTTCGAACTAATTCCAGCCTCTCAACTTTACCATCGCACATCGCGACAAAACTCGGTATACCATCCAGGCCATCTGGATTATTGGCGGTCCACCACTGTGTGATTTAGAAGAAGTTTTATTTTCTCGCACAATTTCCTTGTGGAATGGATTACCACCAGTTGTTCATAGACGGCGGTAGTTACTTACCATCATTTGAGCCTCATGCTCGTGTGTCCCCTCTCCTATAAAAAAAATTATGTATTTTTTAAAATATGCACATGTAAGAAACTTCTGTTATATATTTCTCAAATAAATCATATTTTTACATTGTATGATTTGAAAACACTTCATAAAATCTTATCAGACCAATATACAACACTTGAATCCGTATCCGCAGTCGGTTGCTTTATGAAAAATCAGCTTATGATAGCAAAATTCTTCTGCCGGTATACATGTGCCTCCGCGCTTTCCACAACGTGTTTCTTTCACCGAGACTGAAATTAAAAGTAGCCGTGATATAAAATTCTGTAGTGTGTTTGCGGAGTAAAAAATTCTTTCCTTTTTCTTCTCGACATCGATGTTGTAACATACAACTATGTAAGAGATACTATCCAACATTTTGAATGCATATGTCCAGCCGTAGACTTTAGACTGATTAAGAAAAAGAAGAATGAACCAATTTTTGTTATGATAATATGTAGAAGATTAAAAACCTTATGAATAAAGTTACAGCGAAAGTAAAAGGCTATATATTATGTTCACTGCTAGGCCCAGGCGGTATTGGTGAATATTGTGGAGCAGTTTGTTTACCACACTACCGCGTTCTTAACATATTTTTTCCTCTGTTGTGCAGTTTTTACCCAATATGTTCCTTATTTTATTAAATATTTATTTATAGGATAGAGTGACTAACAAGCACACAGTCCACCTTATGGTAAGTGATTGCTGTGACCCATATACATCTACATTTGTCCTCAAAAATAATCAAAATGCAGATGCGTCATCACCCGCGAGGACTAGTGAAATGCGTTTTTTCCAGTACAATGGGTCTCCTGTTTTCTACACTCACCATACGAAAAACAGCAGTGTCAAGCTGCCATCTTACTCTGGTGTTCTGTGAAAGCGTGGTTCTTCACCGATCGAGCCGACCCATTCGTGCTACAACCATACTTCTAATATAGCTGCAGCATGCAGCAATTACAATTACACAGTCCAATAATTATTGATCATAAGTACTTATTTCTACTACAAAACACCATAATATCTATATTACAGTAGGTCCACAACTTATTTCAAAGAGAGCTCTCACTATAAACCCATTCAGAGTACAACAAAATACGCGTAGATCTATATATTCTGCTATACGGTTGAGGAAATGGAGTGCGCGCGTAAATGGCATCCCATTCACCATCTTAGTGCGACCGCTCGGCACAGCTAGCAGTCGCGGCTGCTGCCGTCGCCACACTTTTCTGTCCGGAACACACATACACACTTGTTGCAATACGTCTGGATTGTGAATCTTTCCCCTCATTACCTTAATGATATATGAGACTAGCGCTAAATTTCTTCTAAAGTTTAGCTTATCGTATCCATCCATACATAAGGAGAATAAAGTAGGATCCTTATTTGGGTAAAAAGATACATTTTCACCCCTGACGACAAAGATGGAATGTATCATTTTCAGTAAAAAGCGTTTCCGGTTACGGAAACGCTTTTTACTGAACATTAAGCTTCAATTTTACGTTGTTGTTCTGTGAGAGCATGATCCTACCCCGGTTGAGCCAACCCATTCGTACTACAACCAAAATATAGTTGCAGCATGGCTCTAGCACATAAAATAAGTAAGGATGATTTCATGAAGAATAAAAATAATTGAAATAATGTTTAATTTCTTACGTCCATAACAACATTCGACTCCTCGGCTTCTTTGCGTCGGACATAATCCCGATTGTTCCACGAGATTACCTTTAGGACAATCAGCTGCTATAGTGCATATACCTTGTGATGAACACGGTTTTTCCTGTCTGATACTGTCGATCGTTCGGACTGAAATATAAATATCAATAATTTTTTTTATTGCATTTGACTGCAAATTATTGAGACTGAGGTGAAGTTATCACCTCAGTCTCAATAATGATAATATTTGTTACACAATGTCACGCTTTGTTAAAAGTTGCATTTTAAAAATATTTTTTTTCTTTTATAGTATACTAGCTGTGCCTCGCGGTTTCACCCGCGTCATCACGTGTCGGTGGTGCGCGACATGACCTGGTTCAAGCATTTTATAATTGCAATTAAATATTTTATTTGATAGCAGTGGATGGAAAAATTGGCATAATTAATGGAGTACTTTTATCTGTCGGCATATTATGTATGATGTAGAGTGAAGGTAAGTTTTATCCACTTTCTCTCCCCCTCCTGGTTGAGCGTCCTCCCCCACCCGACGTTCTCACCGGGCGGCTAGGGTTTATGCGCCATTCGTGCGCCCAGACAAGTATTGAATTATTTTAATTTTACATTATCTCTTAAACTATGCGTCCAAATAACATGGCATAAAGAACAAAGTTTATCTTCATAAAATTGTCTTGATGATGAAGTAACTTTCGTTCGTAAGGATAAATAGGCCATGCCTAACAATAACGCTCATAAATCACTTTTAAATTTTCAATATTTTTTGTCACAAAATACCTAATTATGGTTTATGTATAAAAAACATAACATATGGTATCGCGGACTTTTTTTAGACGGAGTAAAGATTATATTTTTCTAGAATATTGTATTTACGTATCCCTAACGATAACACCAGCGTACGCGGATAAATCATTTCGGGAGTCCTTTTTATTCTGACTTGCTTAACAAATTTATTTATTTATTCTTTTTTACATCTACCTTATAATAAGGGATATAAAGGGCGGACTTAATGCCTTGTGACATTCTCTACCAGTCAACCCTGGATGATTTGAGAAGCTGTGGTAGGTGCAACACCACTCATTAATTAATAAATAGGTAAAAACATATATCTTATAGCAAAAAGCAAATAAATAAAATATTCTTAAACTATACAAACTTAATATTATCTACTTTGTAATAAACAGAAAAAAAATTAATAGTAAATATATAAACGGATAGAATATACTTATATATACAAAATATAAACGGATATAATATACTTATGTATATAAACAAAATATATAAATGGATATAATATACATATATATACAAAATCTCTAAATAAATATAAAATAATATAACACAAAAATAAAATAACATGATGCATATTAAAAAACATATTATACAGAATATCAATTACAAAGTGAAAGAGTGAGAAAAACAAAAATCGGATAAATCAGGTGGTATTATTCCTGTTAAAGAATTCTCGAACAAGTCTTTTAAAATATTGTTTGTTACTGGTTTTTTTGATATGAACAGGCAAGGCATTCCAGAGCAGTATGGACTGCATAGTAAAAGAGGAATTAAAGAAACCACTCTTATGTGGTGGAATACGAATTTTAAGACTATTTTGGGAACGGGGAACTCTATCATGAGTAGAATATTGGTACTGAAAGTTATCCTTAAGATAAGAAGGAGAATTTGGGTCATTTAAAATTGAAAATAGTACTTGTAAAATTCGGGAGCTACGCCTTTGACGAATAGAAAGCCATTTAAGCTTAGAACGGTACTGAGAAACATGGTCATACTTACGTAAGCCGAAAATGAACCTAATGCAATTGTTGAGAAGGCGCTCCAACTTATCGAGAAGATATTGAGATAGATTTGGGTAACACACATCCGCATAATCAATAATGGGTAATATCAAAGTCTGGACCAGTAGAAGTTTAGTTTTAAAAGGCAGAAAGTTTTTGAGACGACAAAGAGATCGTAAGGTGGCAGTAACTTTACGGCTTATTTCAGCAACTTGAACTCCCCAGCTCAAGGTATGGTCTATATGTAAGCCAAGATTTTTAACAGATTTACAAAATGGCAGCAATGTTCCATTGTAAAATACGGGAGAAAGATCATTGTTATTAATCTTGGCTAGTATTCTGCTACTACCTATAACCATTACCTTACATTTGGAAGGGTTAACCGAAATACAATGTCTGTACGACCAATCTCTTATGGCATCAAGGTTGTGGTTAATTTTGTGAATATTATGGTTAAGGTCATTAACACTAGATTGCACATAGAGCTGAAGATCATCTGCATACAGATGGTACGAACAGTTGAGAACTGAAGTAATAGAATTTATAAATAGAGAAAACATTATAGGAGAAAGTATTCCGCCTTGCGGCACGCCTGTTTCAATGTCAGCCCATGTTGGAGACTGTTGTCCTAATCGAACTGATTGCTGGCGACCGCGAAGATAGAATGAAAACCATTCCAAAGCTGGGATTGAGAATCCAAGATTAGCTAGGAAGGCTATAAGGATATTGTGGTCGACTGTGTTAAAAGCATTTGAAAAATCAACGAGTACTACCACTGTAAGCTTCTGCTCATCCATTCCTATTCGAATGTCATCTGTGACTTTTATCAAGGCAGTGGTAGTACTATGACCTGCTCGAAAGCCTGACTGATATTTATTTAGCAGGGTATGTTTGGTTATGAACATAGAGATTTGCTTGTGAACACAGGCTTCCAGAACTTTAGATAGGTACGGCAAAATTGAAATTGGTCTAAAATGGGTAGGTAATAAGGGATTGGGTATTTTAGGAAGTGGTCGCACAAATGCTTTTTTCCACTGAGTAGGATATTGTCCTGAGTCAAGGGAAAAGCTTACGATATGTGTGATTGCAGGCAAATCGACGGCTCCGTGGCGCAGTGGCTTAGCAATGAGTTGCTGCGCTCGGGGGCGCGGGTTCGAATCCCGCAAGGAACAAGTATTTGTATGGCCTACAAATGATTGTTCCGGGTCTGGATGTTTGTCCTTGTGAAATTTGTGTTTGTAAACTGCCTCCACGATACAGGAGAAAATCCTAGTGTGGGGGTAACGTTTTTTTTAAAAAAAAAGGCACTCAAGGATCATGGATATCATAACCTTACTAACCTCATCGCAACCCACAGCCTTGGATTTAATAGCTAATACTGATTTCTGGATCTCATCTTCAGTCACAGGTAAAAAGTGAAAAAAAGGAATAGGAGGAGAAGGCATGGATTGAATAGAAGCTATTGTTGTAGAACGAACTGTGGGATCCAAAGGAGGAGTAGAGATAAAACGATGATTTATTTCATCCAGAGTGATTGATGGACCATGATCAGATGTAACAGTCTTACTAATACCAAGTGTTTTAAGAAATTTCCACACATCGGCGGTCGAAGAATTTGTAATATTTCTATGGATATAACGGCGTTTAGCATTTCGTACCATCTGATTGCATCTGTTTCTCAGCATTTTGTAGCAATCCCAACTCTCCTGAGTACGATGCTTCTTAAATTTGACAAATGCTCGATCTCGCCTGGTCATTGCCACCTTTACGGCCCTAGTCATCCACGGAGCTGGTGGACGCTTTACTACTACGCTTTACTCGATGTTTAGGAGCATGATTGTTGTACAGACTAAGAACTATATTATTAAGCACGGAGACTTTATTGTCAATAGAAGTTGATTTAAAAACAGGGGTTAAGTCCATACGATATGCGTCACTTTTAAGTTTATCGGAATCCATTTTAGCGCAATAACGAATATATAGTACTGCGGGATTGTGCTTAGGAGAAACAAGCTTATATGATATATAAGTAAGGTCATGTCGTGAAAAAGCAGGAGCCGATAGTTGTCCATGCTTAATAACATAATCGGGAGAAGCTGTGATAATATGATCCATCCATGAGTCATCAGTGTCAATGTTGTGGTGAGTTGCTTCTAAGGGGAGAATGTGGAGATCGACTGACTCTATGACTGACCAAAATTTTTGAGAACGAGAAGAATTTCTCAACAAATCAGTATTGAAATCACCCATTACTATGCAGTGCGTGTACTCAGATGAAATGGTACAGAGAGCGCTTTCAAAAACGTTGAAAAAGTTAATAGCAGGTGGACAGTATACTACCCCAAGAATTGCCTCTACACCTTTGATATCGATTTCCAGAAACAGAAGCTTCAATGAGGCAGAATAAGGAGATTTTGAAGCTAAAATTGTTTTATAAGGAATATTTGCTCTCAGGTATGTGGCGACACCTCCACCTCCTTTTTCAGTCCGGTCGTTACGCACAAGAACAAAGTTATTTAAAGGATACATGCTGGACATTAATGAAGGCTTTAGCCAACTTTCTGATACTAAGATTGCATGAACACAATCTATAGAAAAAACTTCATCAAAATAAGAGTAATGACCCGGTATGCTCTGAGCATTAATATGACATACATTTAGAAAGTTTTTACAAGGAGTAAGTAAATTAATAAGATCATCGCGGAGGGAGGGAAAGCTATTAGTATAATTACAAGACTCGAACGAGACATCTGAATCATGTGCAGAATAAAAAGATTCATCATCCGACGTAGCTGACATAATAATAATATGTATATGATAAATATAAAATAATATGTTAAAAAATACTTATATAACACAGAATATAAATTACTTTAACTAACTAATAAAAATACGACTCAATTCAAATATATCACCCAACAGTTGACTGATTGCAAAAAGCATAATGAATAAAATATACAAAGATAATAATAATAACAAAAGGTAATCTACACAAACTAAGACTACTTGATCAGGCATAACAAGACCACAGAAGTTTAAAGGTTAATCTAGGTTGTTTAGTGACTAAATTAACAAGATAATTTAATGGAATTATTTACCAACGAAATTAACCAGTTGTAAATAGTATTGCAAAAAAAAAACCTTAAAATATTTTTAAGGTATGACACAAAAAAAGCAAAAAAAAAAGTTGCTAACAATGCAGCAAGTAGGTGCAATACAAAAAGGAATACAAAATTATTAAGTTTCGACAGACAAGATTAATATTATTGTGAAGCAGTGTACAATGAATGATAATTATTATACACTGTAACTTCAGGCTAAGAATGGCTAGAACCCAGAGCTGTAAAGCCAATTATAAAAGAAAACACTCTGTGCTGTCAGATCTTCAGTTGATTTTGCACCTTTTGCTTTTGTTGACATTTGACATAAACAGTATTACATTATTGCATATTGTATATCTATTCTATTGTAGAACTTGTGTGTAATCAGCTAAACGTAAATAATACAATTACCTTCAACTAATGATAACTGATAATGACAAAAAACAACAAAATAACAAAAAAGAAAAAAAAATTAACTTAAGAATCGAAGATACAAAGATACAATACACAAACTTCCGACGACAGTGGAATTATTTATTGGGCACCACACGACGTGTCTTCTTACTTTCCACACTTTGAACGGCCTGGATGACTTGTTTACGACTGGCCCCATCTTGCTGACAACTGGGTTCTAATGGGCCTTGCTGCACAGTGTCAGACGAGGAACTAGGCTGGGGTCATTTAGTAAGAAGGATATCAAACTCTTCCTCAGTGAAAATTTTTATGCGGGTACTATCTGGGAGTTTAATGTTTATGGTTCCATCAAGAGTCCAAACATTCTTCATGCCGAAATGTCTGCGAGCCTTCTTATATGTACTCTGTCGCATTTTAGTAAGAAACTCCGATACCGTGTATGATGTATTCTTTAATTTAGCCTTAGATCTCCAGACTTCGGATTTAGTATCATGATTATGAAAATGGACAAGTACAGCTCTTACCCGATCATTTCCCGGAGCTCCCAATCGATGACAGCGTTTCAAGAAAGACGTGCTTATATGTGAAAGGCCCATTTTATTATTAATAAGTGCAAGTACCTCTTGTTCCTCATTTAATCCAGGCTCTTCAGGAATACTATTAAAAAGAAGCACCTTACGCCTTTGTCGCATATCTATTTCGTCAACTACATTAGTACACCTGAAATTGTTGCTGCAGAAGACTAAACATGTTCCTCACTAGATCTTTAAAAGCATAAAATTCCTCACTTAGCTGGACCAAAGTTGGATTGGATGGGACTAATGCAGCTTTTAAGCGTTTTTCAAACTCTGTCATCTTTTGCATCCAGCTAACTTCAAGTTCCTTCTGCATCAGATCAACCTTAGTGACATTTGCCATTATGTGCTTTTTTAATTACTTGAAATGTGTATATATAGATATTCACTTGTAAGCTAAGTTGAGCTGTAGGGTGATGCAAGTAATTTCTTAAATCTTCTTTAAACACATATATTAATAATATTAATGTAAACTAAAATGTGTAAACTCACTGATTTGAATGTAATTTAACTTAAATTTTATTTAAATTATTTTTAATTGAATAAATAAACTCGAGCTATCAAATCAGCTGTTGTCTTTTTCACACCTACACACCGAAAAAAAGGTTAAGGCTAGCTGAGTGATATAGCTTAATGCTAGATAGCCTATACTATTTCACATGAATCTGGCTATAATATACAAAAAGAATTTTTCAAATCGGACTGGTAGTTCCAGAGATTAGCGCGTTTAAACAAACAAAAAAACAAAAAAAAAACTCTTCTTTATAGATAGTATATAGTATAGTTTCTAGTATATACACATAAATAAACAAAAGAATGCCTCAGTGACTTCTCTTAAATTTTTTGCACATTTTTAATTCTCTTTTTAATTCTTTTATTTTTAGAAATATGCGTGGTTTGGAAACAATAATTTAAAAGTAAAAATTTTGTACAGCCGACTTCAATATAAATTATTAAGAATAACTCAAAAACGATTAGTCTGATCTTGATCAAATTCAAAATGGACCACATGTGAAGTACCAGCTTTCATATAATATATCATCGAAATCGGTTCACCCAGTAAAAAGTTATGAGGTAACACACATAAAAAACATACAGTCTAATTGAGTACCGTCTCCATTTTGAAGTTGTCAGAAAAACGGAAACAGAAACATAAACTTTTTTATTCAATATAGATTATAAATAAGACTTATTGAATGTCACTCTTTAGGTCAATTACCACTGGTTTGAAAAAAAATATTTCCTAGGAAGAACTAGCAAGAAACCCAGTGAGACTTATTTAAAAAAAATAACAATATACAATTATGTATGTTACAACACAATTGATAACACAAACAAATTATAAATAGCTTCGTAGCGATCATCTCATTTCCAGGGGTTATTATTCCTTAATCTTAAAATAACCCCTTTTACAATCACTAGATTGTTTGCCAGAAGTATAATATTTTATTCATTTGACTGTCAACTATACCAACATAGAATCATCAAAATCGCTCACTCAAAATCATCGCTCGAAATGTTCAAAATGCGAACGGATTAGCTTCATAACTCATTAACTTCGTGTGTTTATTACGACCTATTGTGCGCCGATATTAATTGAATGCGTGTATTTACTACGCGAGTCCATTATATTTTTTTTAATTAAGTGTTGCTCGTACCTTTTCCAACATAATATGTAGATTTATTATAATTTAGTTACATAAGATTTGCATTTTATGTATTATGTCCTTATGTCATTTAAAATAATTGTAATATTAATTATGTAATAAAATATTAATAATATTAAGAATTAATTGGTGAAAATATGATTGCGTAGGGAAAGTTCTCCCAGCGCTAACGATATATTTATTTTGGCTTTAGTTGTATAATCGTCCAGAGAATATTTTATGTTAAATTAGAAAAAAGTAGAGAATTCTGAAATAAGTGGCGGAAGTTTTCAACATTTATTTATTATATACAAGACATACATAATATATATCAAAGATTTTTTTTATTTAATGCCTAGTGTGATGTAATGTACTTTTCGTAAACCTTACTATATCGCAAACCGGTGGCGACGCGGAAAAATATGATACATAACGTACAACATAACGAAAAGACCGCGATCGAGCGTTTCGCTGAAAGTCTGTCCGATCCGTGATTAAACACGATTATAGCTTCTCGCGAATTTAATTCCCTTCCGGATGCTGTGTTTTTGTTTGCTCCCGTAGAAGGAGTGATGACCTTTGGGCTTAATCAGAAACGAATCAACAATGGCAGCGCAGGTAGGTATCGTTAAAATAGGCGCAAATATGAAGAAGTTCTATAATAGAGCGTCCGGCCGACCGAGGCATACTTCGGGGCCAAGTAATAGGCATCGTTCGTATACCGCCCATGACGTACAGATACAGACTGTGAACAACTGAAAACACCCCAACCCCGTTAGACAGCGAATTTTTTATGTTACGATAACTAAAGATAACTTCGTGTTTAATTATAATATAAATAGTGTAGTATGTTTGCGTAAAATTATAAGTAGTAGTAATAACATTAGTCTCTTAACGTAACGGTGCGAGCCTTAGCGTATTGAACTATGAGTAGCTTATTGAACACCTGCGTGACGATAACGAGTTGCACTATGATAAAGTAATTATTAAAGTTGTCACCGAGAAATTAATTTCTGAAGTAACAGAAATTAATTTCATGTTATCAAACGTTATTAAAAATTTAATGTAGGTAAATATAACTATTTACCTAGATTTAATTTTAAATAACGTATCAAAGATTTTATGTTATTAATAATCTAACCAAAAAGTTTTATCTTAATATTCCATTGGCATCACAATAGAATGTTAGGATAACACTATTTGCAGCTTTATAACGCGATAATTAACTATAAAACGAAATCGTGGTCAATTTCTAACGATGACTGTTGCCTGGTAGGTATTATTAGAGACCTACAGCTAACAGAAATAAGCAATACCTACACGTAATACCGTCCCGTTGCGAAATAATAAAATACATCAATTGTTCTTTTTTAAAATAAATAAGAACGTTAAAGTATGATAACAAATGTACTTCATGTAATTATAGTTTTGGCTTTTTAGTATTAATTAAGAACTAAACAGTAAAAAAATTATGAAAAATAATAAAAAGGTATTTATACATAAAAACAACACCAAATTATGTCATTGTTAAATTAAATAATAAACTTATACTTTTCGTTAATTAAGCAACATGTTGTATTAAATAAAAATAAATACATTTAAGTAAATTATTTTGAAATTTTAAATTTTTTTTTAAACGCTACCCCCACACTAGGATTTTCTCCTGTATACTGGAGGCAGTTTACAAACATAGATTGCACGAGGACAAACATCCAGATCCGGAACAATTATTTGTAGGCTATACAAATACTTGTTCCGTGCGGGATTCGAACCCGCGTCCCCCAGCGCAAGAACTCATTGTTAAGCCACTGCGCCACGGAACCGTCAAAAAAATTGTATTATTGTTAACTAATGTTAACTAATGGGGGTCATTGTAGATGCGTGCTCGTCGCGACCCCTGCCAGCCCTTTTCAGGGCTGCAATTCTACTTAGCTGCGCACCCATGCCAACGAGGGTTAGGGCGTCCCCCAAGGCGACGCACACCAACTCGTCCCCGTTGGTGTGGAATGCAGCGCGCAAAGCGGCGATGGGGACCGCCACCCGTCACGCACAGCCCGACACGGCGGAAGGTGGAGGACAGAGTGCAGAGTTGGCACGTGGAATGTTAGAGGAGGCATGAGAGATAAGACAAATGAGTTGATTGAAATAATGAAAGAAAGAGAATTAGATGTCGTGTGTATGTCGGAGACCAAACGGAAGGGCAGTGGTACTGAAGAGCTCCCTGGCGGCGCGTTAGCTCTATGGTCCGGAGTCCCGGAGAGCGAGAACGCCTGCCAGGGAGTGGGGGTGCTGCTATCTTCTCGGTTGGTCGATGTTATGACTGAATATAAGGTTGTGAACTCAAGACTTCTCTGGGTTCGCTTTAAATTGGGACTGACGAAGTTATTCCTTTTGGCTGTTTATGCGCCGGTGGCTTCGTCGTCCAGGGCTGAGCTGGAGGAGTTTTGGGAGAATGTAAGAGAAGTTCTAGATTTGGCAAAGGGAAACGAAAGGATTGTTGTATGTGGTGATTTGAATGGATGGGTTGGTACCGCTCGACCAGGGTACGAGTCGGTACTTGGAAAGTTTGGCGATAAAAGGGTTAATGATGCTGGCAAGCTTATGGCGGTGTGCAAGGAAAAGGGTCTTCTTGTGACAAACACTATGTTTAATCACAAGAAAATCCATATGTATACTAGAGAACGAAAGAATGAGAGAAGTATGATCGATTTGTTCCTGGTGGATGACCGACTGCGAAAACAGGTGATGGATACGCGAGTGTTCAGGGGTGCTGACCTGGGAACGGATCACTATCTAGTGATTACTAGATTTAGGGGTCTGTTCGCGGGTTGGCGCTACCGGACGGCAGTAACAGAACCACAGTCGGTCTGTCGCATCCGAAGCTGGAAGCTTCAGGAAGCGGATACTAGGGACAAATATCATGCGAGGGTAGCCGAAAAGCTTGACACCATCGATGGCAGAAAAGAATGTGTAGAAAGAACATGGCAGAACCTTAGGGATGGAATGGTAAGTGCAGCGGAAGAAGTGTGTGGAACAATAAAAAGAGACAGTAGTAAAAGAAGAGATGCATGGTGGAATGATGAAGTGAAAGAAGCTGTAAAGAAGAAGAAGAAAGCATGGTTAGACTACTTGGCCTCTAGTAATGATAAGGGTATGAGAGAGAAGATGAAAGAAAGATATAGGCTGCAGAAAGTTCACACGAAAGCACTGATTGAGGAAGTGCGTGAAAGGTGTAGAATGGAAGCAGACGAAAGGTTGTCGCGCAACTTTAAGGAGAACTCCAAACTCTTCTGGAAAGAGTTTGGAAGGACCCGAAGTGGTGCGACGGCCTTAAGAATGAACAAAGTGCTTTCGAGAACTAATGACGTCCTCTCAGAAAAATCGGACGTCATGCAGCGATGGAGCGAATTTTATAGAGAAATGTATACGTGTGATGATCTTAGTGAGGGATCCGGGGATGACGCCGTGACTGGTACGCCAGACCCGGACCTCGATGACACTGAGGTCATCAGTATGAAAGAGATTGAACGTGAGATTCGAAGTTTGAAATGTGGTAAAGCTGCGGGACTAGACAGAGTTACTGCTGAAATGGTCAAGTATGGTGGGCCTCGCGTCTGGGACAGCTTTCGTCTGCTGTGCAATTTGTGCTGGCGGACGGGGGATATCCCGGATGATTGGCGATCCGCAGTCATTGTGCCTTTATATAAAGGTAAAGATTCACATTTTGACTGCGGGTGCTATCGGGCGATCAGCTTGACCAGTTTAGCAAGTAAAGTTTACTCGAAGGTTTTGACACGTAGGATGCAAGAGAAATCGGAAAGATTTCTATGGGAGGCACAATGCGGATTTAGACCTGGAAGAGGATGCACGGATCAAATGTTTTCTCTCCGCATGATCACGGAAAAGCTTCTGGCTGCTAACCAGAAGATTTTCTGTGCTTTTGTGGATCTTGAAAAAGCATTTGATAAGGTTGTAAGGAAGAAAATGTGGGAACTGTTGCCGGGGTATGGTGTGGATGGTCGATTGCTAAGGGCTGTGCAGTCTCTTTACTGTGACTGTAAAGCCTGTGTGCGGGTAGGGCATGTCCTGTCACCTATGTTTAGCGTCCAAACGGGCGTAAAACAGGGTTGTGTCATGTCTTCCTGGCTGTTCATACTGTATCTCGACAGCTGTTTACAAAATCTGAAAGATAGCTGTTTGGGTGTGAAATTGGGTGACATTAAAGTAAATTATCTGCTGTATGCTGATGATGCAGTGCTTATTGCACCATCAGAGGCAGAACTGCAGGCATTAGTCACGTGTATGAAAGAGGAATGTGAAATTAAAGGTCTCCGTTTGAATGCTAATAAAACTAAGGTTCTGGTATTTGAAAGGGACGAAGAAAGAACGAAGTGTGAAATATGGTTAAATCAGGAATGTCTAGAACAGGTAAATGAAATTGTATACTTGGGGAGTGCATTTAGCCGGGATGGAAGATGTGATTTAGATGTGGACAGGCGTGTCGCTGCCGGGAACAAAGTCAATGGTGCCCTGACTGCGTTAGTCAAAAGGCAAGGCGTAGCGAAGAGTGCACGCCTTGCAATACATAACGCAGTGTTGGTACCGACTTTGTTATATGGCAGCGAAACCTGGGTATGCCAGAAGAAGCATAAAAGTAAGTTGAATGCAGTGGAGATGCGATCTCTTCGTAAAATGTGCGGCGTTACCATGGCCGACCG